AGCGGGGCCGAGCCGGCCCATCGTCACCAGCACAGGGACCGGTCTCACCTCTCGTAGCTGGACATACTGACGGCCTCGGACCTGGGGTGCAGGAGAAAGGGGTAGAAATGAGTGGCAGAAGAACCCACACAAGTCCTGTCCCCACCAGCACCATCTCCCATGTCCTCTTTCCCCCCACGTTTTCCATACTGAGACCTGGCACTTCTCCCCTATCCTCCTTTGGCCCTCCAAGGTTCCCTTTTCCCAGGAATCAGCAAGTGGAAAACCCGTTTGTTGCAGCTTGTTCATGCAGGCGGCGAGCCTGGTGTCACGGAATCCACTTCTGCTCCTTCTGCCTCTGCTACATTTATCTATCCCATGAGCCTGCCTGTTCTTGGCTGCCTTCCTCCTTCCATGAGCCACAAACGGTTCCCACAGTTTACAACCACGTGGATTCCCATGCGCCGCATTCCCTGCTGCTCCCAGCGTGCAAATCCCACTTGTACGACATTTCTTGGGAATTTGCTGTTCCCAGAAATCCCTGCCCATTTCCCAGATCCAGAAGGGAGGCTTTACAGCAGGCAACTAGAATGAATTTACCCGTCCAAGTGCGACGCCTGCCCTGCACAGAATCTGCTCAGCTCCTTCCACTTCATCACCAGGACGGTGCCGCCAACAGCGACGGGCAGGAAGAGGCAGAAGCCGAGGAGCAGCCACGTCCTCAGCGAGTCCCTGGAGGGGCTTTTGGCACTCACCTCTGGGGAGAAAACCAAGGGAGCAGCTCCAGGCCTGGGCAAGGGCACTGCTGAGGTTTCCCAGGAGGCAGGGAGCACCCGTCGCAGCCAGTAAAAGCGCTGGAAAAAGCCCCAGCTTGGGGCACTCACCGGTGTCCAGCACCCGCGACCTTCTGCTGACGCTGCCGCTCGCCGGAGACCCTTGGACCTTGCAGGTTGGGGGCTTCCACCCCGGAAAACAGTGGCACATCTTCTTGTTATTACACACCTGCAGACACCAGGATGGGAACAAAACCCTGCGCGTTTATAAAAGCCTGTCCTGAGACCTGTCACTAGGTCCTCCCTAGGATTGCTGTTTTCCTAGCTGGCCCCTTCCCTCCTACACAGAATTCCCCACTGCTGCGGTTACCACCAGGCTGCAAGTGCTACTTGATACATCTTTTTTCAGCTTCCTGCTAAGCCAGACAAGCAAAGAATCCACTTTCCTTTACCCGGTGCCATTATTTAATTTCTCCCACCAAAACTCATTATTGCATGACAATTTTGGAGAAAAGCAGCAGCCTGGAACAAGTTTCCAGCCAATTCACAGACAAATCACAGTGGAAACTGGAGAAGACTCTCTCTCTGCTCCAGCAATATTAGTTCTAACAAGAACTGCACCGACAACATCGTTACCTACCCCATGTCCGTGGCATTTTTTCTGCGGATTGCAATCGTACTTCAGGACTGAATGTGGAAGGCAAGTGCTATTCAGACAAACCTAAAAGTCCCAAAGGAAAGAAAAAAAAATCTGAGTGCTTTTTAACAAAAACATTAAATACAGAGTACCTTTAAACTGTGCTGCAACAGGACAACTATTTCCAGAACTGCTACACTTGTAGCACATTTAAATATATGCCATTCTTGGGTGCTCATGAAATATCTCTTACCTTTCCGTGACCGCATTTGGTGCCTTCTTTAACCAAGAGGGGATCTGGCACCGTGGGTCCGCGCATGTAATCGAACGACACACACAGATGTTCTTGCACTTGAGCATAAATCACGGCCCCTTTAACTTTCGTGAACGGAATACGATTCGGGTAGGCACATATCAGCTTTCCACACTTCAGATTCCTAAAAGAATTGATGGGCACGAGAGATGAAAAGTGGGGCCGCAGCACCCGTTTGATCAGTCTGGAGAGGCAGAAGCACGCAGCTGAGGAAGGGGGATTTAAATAAGAACAAAATCACAAGCAGATTATGTTTTGGAGGAGCTCAATTCTTGATGGAAGGAGAGAGGCTGCTCTGGAAGTCACTAAAGGATTGATTGCACAATCAGACATTTTCCGAGCGTTCTTTTCCCGTATCCTTTCAGTCTCCAACACCTCCCATACCCCCCAGACTATAACGAGCCTGAGCTCATCAGGAAGGAGGGATTTGTCGTGCCCAGCAGAGCCCTCTGCTCCCCCTGGATGCCCCTTGCACAGATCCTAACACCAGCAGCATCTGCTTGGGGAAAAAAAACCCTGGTTATCCAAACCGTTTCTCCAAGAATGGCTAAGGCTAAAGCCAGAGGGAAATGCAGTCCCACCAAAGAAAGCCCTAAAGAGAGGGCAACCTCCCAACTGGTCCTATCTGCACCTGCAGTAAAGAGAAGCACATATTGAATATTCATTCCCAGGAAAACACTTTTCATTCCTTGAAACATACAGCCAAGCACAGGCCTGATACCCCTCTGTCGGGTCATTTCCACAGTGTCCAAATCTATCTTGTTGACTGTTGACTTCTTCGTAACATGCCAGAGGAGCATTTTTTGCACCTGAAAGTGTGAATACAGAATAGCTGAACCCAGAACAACAAGCTGCACTGAGGGCTACGCAGCAATGACGCTGAGCTATGAAAAAACATGCAGAAACCAGGGCTCAGCAGCCACGAAAACGGTTACCTCTCCCGTAGAGCTGCTGGCACTGCAGATCCGGAGACTGGCAGCGGCCCTTGTAGCAGTAGCCGGTGCCGCGCTCGCACTCGTAGCCGTCCTGGATGTAGAGGTCGGGGGGACAGGCGGCCGAGGAGCCGTTGCAGTACTCCACCAGGTCGCACTGCGCGTCCGAGAGCGCCCGGCACTTGCTGTTCTTCTGCTTAAACTGCAGAGAGAGGCACCCGTGAGAGGCCCGGCCTCCGTGGAGGCCGCGGGGGGCCCGTGACGGCGCGATTTTCCAAAGCTCCCCGCAGGAATCAGCCCATGGTGCTGAGTTTTGCCGTGCTTTGCACAGAAATAATGGTCATTATCAGACCCCTTTCTGCTGTTTTTTTACCAGTGCTTCCTGTCTTTGAGGCACAATCGGAGCGCTCCGGGCTGACATTTAACCCTGCTCCTGGTTCTGAGCATCCAACCTCTCCTTCAAACGCTAGCAAAGCATTTTAACCCCGGTCCTTCATCTTCCTCAGTTAAATTCTATATGTAACACTAGTTGAAAGAGACTCTCCAAGTCAGACATTTGGGGGAAAAAATACAAGCAATTACCATGAAGGCTTTCTTGTTCAAAGCTTGGGGAAAGTGCTCATTTGTCTAAAGAAAACAGCACAAATATTACTAAGTTTTTTAGGGCTGATTGTAGATGCAAAAGCAGAAAGCTAATTTGTAGTCCTACTATAGAAAAATACTCGTTTTTCCAAAATTTATAAATGACCTTAACTTCTGATAATTATGAACACACCTTACCTGACAATTTTCACAGCATAATCCCGAGGAACACTTCATTCCTGGCTTGAATTTACATTGGGGAGTACAGCATTTGTCTTTTGAGCACGCCTGGAAACGATAAAACCTATTATTTGCTTCAAATGTCCTCATTTGTAGGCCGACCATTTGCCCTATCCCTATTCCTCCGAATCCAGGATACGCTTTGGAGGATTCCAAGGAAGATAAGTAAAATCTGTGCGTGGGAAATGCTGTAAACAGCAACAGAGACAACTCCCAGCTTCTGTTCACTCTCAAGGAGCAAATTGGAGCAATTCCTTGAAACAGGGGAAGGGGAGTAATCCCGTATTCCTCAGGCGAGCGTGGCACCCACCTCCACGGAGCCGCAGTCGCACTGCTCTCCCTGCTCCACGATGTTGTTGCCGCACACGGCGGCTTCGCGGAAGGTCGGGCCTTTAAACTGGGACCTGACGAAGGGGCAGTCTTGGTGCAGCTGCAGAAACCTCCCCAGGTCGGCGGCGCTGCAGCTGCTGAAGGCTCTCACCCCGCTGTGACGCCTGAGAGGGACCGATGACGCCCATTGATAAATGATACTGATGTCCCCAGCGCGACGGCGCCGACAGAGCGGGACCAACTCACAGCGCCTCCGAGTTCATCACGCACACGGGGCCGGGGCAGCGGCAGCTCCGGCCAGCCTTGTCGTAGCTCATTCCCAGGCTCCCAGTTTTCGGCGCTGGGTCCGTGTCCGCGCGCCGGCACGCCTGGCCCGGCATCGTCGTGCCGATGTACGTCGGGCGCTCCTTGTACCTGAAACACCCGCGTTGCCATCAGCTCGAAAGCCGAGCGGGCAGCATCTCCCTGCGCTTTTACCTTCCTCTTCAGCAGAGCCCTCTTAGAGCAAAGACTATTGACCGCAAGCGCATCGATTTACCACGCTGGCACTGCTCGCTCTTAAATAACGCAAAAACTGTAATCTTACAGCAATAAATAGGGCACGTCGCTCGGCCGCAGGAAAAGGTTTGTCTGTTTCCACTTTAAAAATCGCTGCAGCACGATTTCTCCTTCCGGTGCTGTGTCAATTTTATTCCCATCTGCCCAGTACTCCACCGAGGACAGCACGACTGCTAAATTCAGGGATTTTAACATCTGAAAACATAACAGGAGAAAGGGCTGCTCAGATACGTTTCATTTGAAGCAATGTTGAAGTTCTTATTTTTATCAGCAGCTGATGTATTTTAGGAAAGCAGACAGCAGCAGCTGGCAGCTCCACTACCTGTTATGTAAGGGGATGATGAGTAAAGTGTGGGAAATGTAAAGCTGAAAGGAAAAAAGGATGTGTCTGAAAGAGCTAAATGCAGCAGTTGAGCAAACAGGATCTTATAAACCTGAAGACAGGCTCTGCATGAATAAAGTTATTAAATAATTAAACATTCAGAACACACAGACTTGTCCAGATCTGTGGTTTTTGTTGTATCCACTGTGATTTAACATCAAGTACTCAGGCAACTACAATATGCTAAATATACAGGCAGGAAAAAATATTCACACCCCTAACAGAGACACATTGACAAAATGCGTTGGTGGAGTCTGGCACATGGAAAAGGCCCCTGAGGGAAGTATTATATTAAAAGGCAATATGTCATTGAAAAGATTTTAAAAATAGGTGCCAGCTTTTTTGGGAGCAACACTGATTGCAAGCATGCATTTGTGTGGGACAACAACGAGGAAAATCCTCATTTCTGGCACCTCCTAACCCAGTCTTGAAAGTCCTTAGAGCAACCTGGAGCTCTCAACAGGCTCCAGAGCGAAAAGCGAAAAAGTTGAGATGAAATATTGCCAGAAAGCACAATTATCCTCAAAAAAATCTTATTTAAAATTAGGCAAATCCTGTCAATACCTAGTCTTTAGAAGGCTGCAATAAGATACTCAAGTTTTCCATTTCAACACATAAAAAAGAGGGGAAAACTTACACTGCTGAGAAAGCCAATGATCTGAAGTATCTTCTGTGTCACAACGTGTTTGTTAGCGCCCATATACTCATACTGAAAAATAACAAGAGATAAATTATTTGCCATAAATGAGCATCCCAGGCTTGTATCATCATCTTCAAATAGCAGGGATTTCTACGAGGGCCGCTCACCGCAGCCCGAATCCCCAATAAAATTGGCTTTCCAAACTGGCTCTTATGGAATGATGTGTGGTCACAAGTGATGGATTGCTAGGGGACCGTGACAAAGCCTTATATTATGCTTTTAAGATCCAAAAAAACACACATGCAACACAAAAATAGTCTGACACAGACTTACCAATGCTTTCTCCAAAATTATATACATGTCTATATATCTGGTGGGGCTTAACAACTGGAAAAAAAAATAAAGGACTTAATTATTCCTATTTTGGTTGTGAAATGTAAGAAATGATAACTCTTCTGGTCAGCTAGGAGATTCAAAGCCTCCACAAAGCATCATCATCTCCACGTTTTGTTTTCAGAGCAAATTACGAAAGTCACAAGCACTCACTTGCTCCTTGGGCAAGTCCTGAGCTATCTGCTGCGTCACCTCCTCCTTCTCCGGGTCATCGTGGACATTGGCCAGGAGGAAACTCGCCGTCTTCTCGTTGCTCACCTCGTAAACGAAGTGCTCGAACGCGGGCGAATGAACCCGGGGCTCGATGCCGTAGCTCATGTTGTCAAACTGCAGCAAGCCCCTGCCAAGGGAAGTGGGCCCGGAGCGAGGGCTCGGCGATGCCACCGGCTCCTTGGTGGCCGCAGTGGCACCTTGGTGGCACCGCGGCGTTACCTGAGGCCGGAGCACGTGCTGAGAGTCACCATGGAGCCCGGGAAGCCCTCGACGTACCCGCGGTAGTAGCAATCTTCCTGCATGGAGACCAAGGAGGAACCATAGCCATGCGCAGGCTCCATCTTCAAACCCCTCGAACCCCTAAAATCTTAACGAAGGCCTTCAGAAAGAGGAATCTGGGCATTTCCACATGTTTCTCCAGTACCTCTTGCCTTGTTTAGGAAGCAAATATGCGGAGAAGGAAAGGACGTGCTGCCCCGCTGCAACAGCGAGCGGCATCCCCCAAAACACTGACTCACAGGGTGACCCTGGAACAACTAAGACATGGAAAAACAAAGAGTGCCAAGGTTACCTTGATATGGGGCTCATCGGAGTGCAAAGATCCCTTCTCATTGTATGTGTAAATCCGGAAATCCTCAGATAAAAACAGCCTGGAAAGGATAGTCAATTGCTCTGAGAACAGGCTGGAATGCTGTTATCCCACTCCAGCGAGCAGGAGTTCCTGGAATCTCCCCGGGGCATCGGGCAGCCCCGCGAGCTGCCGGGCCGACACCTCCCGCCACCCCACGCGTCCCCCCAGACCGTCCCCGTCACCCCCGCGCTGCTGCGCGCTGCGTTCCTGCAGCGCACGGGCATTAGCTCCATTACTCCCGTACCGTGTCGCCAGCTGTCTCCAGCCTCCGCGGAATTGTGATGTGCAAAAATACTTGGGAGCCTAGGGAAGGAAATTGCTTCCTAGTGATCGTCACCAGCTCATATCACTGTGTGAGGGACAACACATCCCGTACGATGGCAGCGTGAGGGCCACATCCAGCTAAGCATTCCCGAACTCTTCCAGGAATGGATGGTCCCGGAGAGGCCACCCACCCACCCCCATTGGCAACCACGCAGTAAATGTCCGTGTCAGAAGGAGCCCCGTGTAAGGGCTCTCCCATCATTTCTTGATTTATCCCAACAAAATCCATGGCCATAATGTGCCTGGCAAGATAACGGGCTTCAGCAAAGGCTCAAGTCCCTGAAAGCCAAACAGCAGAGTGTTTGCTACACAAAACGAGCCAACAAGCCATAAAAAAAAATCCTTCCAAGAAGTTTCTCCTAAAGGATCATGTGTTGGAAGTGGGGAAAACAGCCGAGTATCCCTGCCAAGAAACCAGGGGGAAGGGCTCCCTCCTGGCCCAAAGTTGCTCTGCCAGGTGCCCAAATAAGGGAATTTCATCTCTCGGGCCTTGGCTGCTCTTCCCTGGAGTCATGGGCAGCTGGTTTGAAAAACATGGGAGCGGGCAGCAGGATGGATGCGGGGATGGAGGACGTGGGGATGGAGGACGTGGGGATGAGGAACGTGGGGATGGAGGACGTGGGGATGGAGGACGTGGGGATGGAGGACGTGGGGATGAGAGACGTGGGGATGAGAGACGTGGGGACAGAGGACGTGGGGACAGAGGACGTGGGGACAGAGGACGTGGGGATGAGGAACGTGGGGATGAAGGACGTGGGGACAGAGGACGTGGGGACAGAGGACGTGGGGACAGAGGACGTGGGGACAGAGGACGTGGGGACAGAGGACGTGGGGATGAGGAACGTGGGGATGAGGAACGTGGGGATG